CAGCTGTAACTGTGGCTGCCCCAGCATACCTGCATAGGCAGAGTCCAATACTGGCAAGCCCAAAGTAGCGGTAGTCCATGGGTGACAGTTTCCTGATGAGTCTATGTCTTCAGTGAGGACTAAAAGTCCTAGTAGACCCTTATATGGTGGTGTTACTGCAGTTCCCCAAGCAGAGCTCAGCAGAAAATTTCCATGAAATTCTCTCGAGACCCTCTAAACACTCCCTGTGTAATAGCTGGAGATTACATGCTGTGTCTTGTCTGTGCCTTCTTCCCATGCAGCACCTCTCAGAGTCAGAGCCCTTCCCCTTTAATTTACAGCACAGGGAGAGAGGAAGAGCCCAGAAGTAGTGGGACAATGCCTTAACCCCTTCCCCCTGGCTCAGGCAGCCATAATTAGATACCTACTGTAGGCAACCTGCCTACATACATATAAGGTTCATCTTACCCTTCAGAGGTCCCGCAGTATGTATATGCAATTGACTGTTTTGCCAATTACAATGCAAATCATCTTAGCAGAAACATGTCTTACTGAGCTTGCAGAAATAGCCAAGTGCATACGCAGACTGCATTACTGCTACTTGCTGAGCTCAGTTAGTCTTACAAGCAGCCACTACACAAACCCTAACATTGTTGCCTTTTTTCCTTGCAATGGAGGAGCAGTTGGATTATAGTCCAGTGTCAGAAGAAATTGCATCCCCTCTACCAACTGAAGCTGATTTAAAGCACAGTTAACACAGAGCACATAATTCATAATGGGGCTAGAGCTATATTCCCATATCAGACATGGTCAACTAAGACATATTGAGAAGGAGTGACCCTTCAAGGGTCCTTATTTTTTTGTCATATACTTTCACATGCCTAAGGGCAAAAAAAGCATGGCAAGTAGGTTATCTGTGTTCCAATGGCATAGTACAAACCAGTGTAGTGTGTTCCAGTGCTTTTCAACCCCAGAAAAAAAAAAGTACAACATGCTGCTTTTTTCCTGCACAGAACTGTAAAAAAACATCAAAATTGCAACAAAAAAGCACTGGAACCCAGTACAGTGGAAAAAAAAAACCCAGAAAAAGGAAGCAAAGAAAAAAATTGTCTCAATGAAAATAAAGCAATTGCAATTGAAATGACCCAAAAAAAAGAAAGGAAGGGGAAAAAAGAATTTCGATCACATCTGGAAACGCATAAATGATGCATCAAAAACAAATTGGAATTCATCAAAAAGTGTTAAAAAGCGCATGCAGAAACACATCCAGAACGGATCTGGAGGACATTTTTGTGGTGTGAACTGGCCCTAAGTTAGAAACATAGGGACCCTGTAAATATTTTTTTTTCCACAGAAATTAATAAAGTTTTTCCGAAATTGTATTGTTGCTGAGCATTACAGCCAGTATATATAAAATGGTTAGCAGAACACTTCTTTAAATGCTAGAAGAGGTATTCAGCATTCATGCATTCATTTCTACCTGGGTAGCTCAGCCAATGAAATACACCTTCTCATTTATTAGGTGTCAGCATAATGACATGGGGTCTGTCCAACAATTCTGTATCAGGTCTTGCTGTGCCAGAAAATTGAAACATCAATACACCCAAGAAGACTTATATGATGCCAAAGAGTTAAATTGCTAAACGGTATCTTAAGTTCCTAAGGACTTTTGATGATAGATCTCTGTGCATGTGATTGAAATTACCAGGGCTGTTACAAGGGGATTCCACTCTCCCTGTTTTATATTGAAATTATTTAAAGAGGTCAAATAAATAGGGGTTGACTCTTCTTACTAGATCCTACAAATAATATTACTTTTGCGTGGACTAATTATATAAGAACTGATGCATACAATTTTCCACACCCTGAGTAACTTAAGTGGAATAACAAATGTACAGTAAGAGGTTGCTTCCATAGCTATCCAAGTGTGCCTTCATTCTCTGGAAAATACATTAGCAGAAGGTGTGGTTAATTGGATAGATAGTAATGAAAAAAAGAGGACATACAAAGAGAGGACAGCGAAGATTCCAGGAGAGGACAAGGATATGTAGAAAGAAAATTGTAGGACAGGGTGCTTGGAATGATTCCTACATGTCAACTTTCAGTATAGTACACTGGAGGCATGGATTTTTTTTTAAATGCTGTTCATCCCGTTTGGGGATGTTTCTTATTTATCATCACCAAATTATAACTGGATTGAAGTCAATGGTCAATGTATTCTCAGAGTGTGCATTAGCTATTTTAGCTGTCAGGAAGATATGTGAAATCAATCAACTTTTAGAATTGTACTTTATCAGGGACGGGTATGTTCAGTAAAGCTTCATTGTCACTTTATTGTTTCTCTTCAAAAAGTAGAAAATAATGCTGTTATTAAAGCACAATTCCAGCCAATATGTGAAATAATTCAGTGAGCTAAAATGAATATTGAGCAAGAGCAGATTCGATAAAATTGGAACACTCAATCAGGGGAATTCGGTAAAGCAGTAATGTCACTTTTCTGGTGGTATGGCTCCTTTAACATGACTTGCACTTAATTCATGAAACTCTTGCTCCAGTTTTGGTACAGGTACCAACACATGTGCCATATGCAGGCACTGTAGTCCTTACTATCACCACTTTTAAAATCTGTCACTATGAATGCAACACATTCTCTAAGAACTACAACCAGTTTTCAGATAAACTAGTAGTATTTAAGCCCAACTCAAAGTTGGTGTACAGTGATGAGAGGGGTGTTGTGTGTTTATATGGCTCTATTAATATGTTTGTGGTTTACATCATTCCTTTATTGATTGTTTGGATGATGGCTGCAACTAATAAATCGCTGCTGGCAGAGCCTGATAAGGAACTCTAAGAGACTAGTTCCCTATCAGATCCCCTTGCCTGTGATTGACAGTGGATGGAAGTAAGCTGATTCCATAGCCAATAGTCAGTCCAGTAGTGGCTTTGGAATCCACCCACTGCCATCCACTGTCAGTCACAGGCAAAGCAGTCTCAGAGTTCCCCATCAGGCTCCTCCCATCAAATATGTCCAATTAACGGCTGCTGTACCTGGTATCTGTGGGATTGGTGTAGCCTGGTGGAAAACTCAAACTAGTTGACCATCAGGTCCACCTTTTTCTGTGACTGATAGAGACCCGTAAGTAAGCAGATTTGAAAGCCTATTGGACTAAATAGCGACTATCGATCCACCCAATGTTGTGTACGGTCAATCAAGAGTAAGGTGGACCTGATGGGGAACTAGTCTCTCAGTTCCCTTTCAGGCTTCACCCATCCTGGTACAAAAGTCTTTAGCCCTGTGCCTGTCAGTGGGACCATTGCAGTGGCTGGGGAGAGAAGGCCCTGAGTAAGGCGTGCCCAGTATGGACCCTCAACCTCAATGCCTTCCTCGACTGATTCATGTACCTGTCAGTTATGTGAATCGGGCGCAAGCACCAACACTTTTGGTGCTGCACCCTGAAGGAATTCTAAAGGGTGTCTTTGAAACCCTTTATGAATTCCCTGATAATTTGCCTTAATCAAAGTTTTGTATAATCAAAAATCCACTGCGGCCAGACTCCAGAAAGCCCTTCTCAGATTCATTTTAGGTGTGCTTTTTATAGCTTGTGTCATGTGTCCCTTTATCTACTTCCTATATCAGAGATCAATTTCAAACATCCAAGGCAGGTTTGAATCTGAGAGGTAACTGGAAACATTTTAGTACCTGTCCCCAAAAAATTAAAAGTCATCAGCTACAAATACTGTAGCTGCTGACTTTTAATATTAGGGCACATACCTGTCCATGCATCCAGCGGTGTCCTCACCCTGAGCCGATTCTTCAGTCGGCTGTCGAACACTGCGCCGTCATCTTGACTAAGGGAAACCGCAGTGAAGCCTTGCGGCTTCACCGCGGTTTCCTACTGTGCATGCAAGAAGGGCGCTGCACTTTGTGAATGGGACACTTCCAAGGTCCCAGAGGACTGGGGGGGGGGGGGCATCTTCCGTCTGTGAAAACCAGGTACTCCCCTCCAAAAAGTGCCAAAGTAGGCAGCGGAGGGGGGAGGAGACAGAAAAGCAGGGCTTCCACTTTTTGGTGATACTCCGCTTTAACAACAAATTTGTGTTACGGAATAGCTTTCCTGCATTATGCAGAAGTAACCAGAATTTGCTTTCAAATCATCAGGAGGAAATGGGGTAGACTGGGAACAGCAGTACTTTAGTGAAAAACTGAAGACCAAAATATATAAGTTTTGCTCTGTTTGTGCACTTTATTGCTAAATTCTAGATTTTAATCAATGTCTACTCTAAAGAAAACAATGCTGTGCTTCTGGCACCTCACAGACCAGAGATATAGATATATTTCTTGTATGTGGGAGATATCCTAATTAGCCAAGCAGTCTGTGGAAGAATGTAAACATTGCAGGGGTCTCATTTGCCACAAATAACAAATACCTAACTCCAGCAGGTTGTTGCTTTTCATTAATGGTGATGATTTTCATGATGGGCTGTGGGGCACTGACCCAATGGGGAAAAAGGAAGCTGAAAGCAATGTCGGGGGAGTACTGTAAGCTGTATAAAAGGTAATAAATACCTGCAAGAGTTATACTTACACACTTGTACTTACCATGGGAAGATATATCTAACCTCTGCTAACTGTGCTGAGCAGCACAGTGGCTAAATGGTTAGCATTTCTGCCAGACGGTACTAGGGTCATTGGTTCGAATCCTAACAATGGCACCACCTGCCTGGAGTTTGCATGTTCTCTCTGTGCCTGCGTGGGTTTCCTCCGGGTACTCCAGTTTCCTCCCACTCTCCAAAGAAATGCTGGTAGGTTAACTGGATTCTGTCTAAATTGGCCCTAGTATGTGGGAATGTAAGTTAGGGACCTTAGATTGTACACCCCTTGAGGGTTAGGGACTGAAGTGAATGTATAATATATATGTAAATCGCTGTGTAAATTGACAGCACTATATAAGTACTACCTGAATTAAATAAATTGTACTTCTGCTGGTACTAATATACTTTGTACGTGTTGCTGATTTCAGGGAACGTCCAGGCTGTAAAAGGGGAAGCCAGTGATGAAGATGAGGAGACAGAGTACTTTGATGCCATGGAGGACGCACCAGCCTTTATCACAGTAACAACTGACCCCAAACAGCACAGGTAATCTATACTTACATATACAGTATAGAGTATACCACATGAAGGCTTATTCACTAATAAGTAGTACAAAATGAAGAAACCCATAAAACTCCATATAAGATCATTCCGTTGCATGCTAGGGGCTACTGCATTTTTAATTACTTTATTAGCTTTCCCTGACATGCATAACATAATTGGATTCTTTCTTTGTGTAAAATTGCTTTTAAAGATAGCTGTACAACAAGCAGTAGTCTGTTCCCTACTGCCCTAGAATTCAGCAAGAAGACCGTCTTTCACGTAATGGGTACAGTATATATAATAGGTGATAAACCTGGCCAAGAAGCTGCATGTTGTCATTGGTCTTACTTTTCTTCATGTACATCTTTTGACCACACAGCAGCTAGAATAGGGGACATCTCCCAGTATGGGGGACTAGGAGCTGTGTTGCTCCACTCAAATTGAAACCTTTTGTAATGGAATTGTACTTGAACCCTTTTCATTGCAGTTTTTACTTTGATGTTCATTGATTTTATTGGTGAGAACCACTTGTGACTGATCTGATTGCATTCACACATATTAGTGGGGAACTGGCTGTCACTGTGCTGCTAAGTGTATTCTCCTGTGTGCTACATTAGTGCACTGGGGGGTTATTTCTTGCACAGCTTAAAATAGCTATCCAGAGACCTTCTAGACTGCCACTGCCTGCTGGCAGAGTTAACTTTCTGTCAAAATGCCCGGAGAAGCTTGACATTGACATGCCACACTCCCAGAATTCCCCACAGCTATGTATAAACCAGGGCTGGCTAATCATGACCCTGTATCATGGCACATGCAGCTCTGTAACAACTAAAGTGTCAGAAAAGAGCGTGCTCTCAGCTCCCAGCATCAATACATTGATTAGTATTTATTTCAGGGGTTATTTTTCACCTCCAGCTTAATTGAAGGAGAACTAATTAAAAATGAAGATATTATTTAAGAACTGGTGAAACCACTAAATATAGATAAATCACATTCACCTTTCTTCCTTGTAATGACAGTGGAGCTAATATGTAGAACAGTCCCTGATGTCTTAAACATGTCCCTGCCAACCCTCTTAATGAATCATGCTGATCGATAGCATAGTGTACGCATGGAAGACTTGAGTGTTTGCTGTACATGGACATGGGAGCCAAATGTGGCCGAAGAAGAGGATAGACTTTATATAGGAACATACTATACGTCTCTACTGGCTTCTTGAATTTAGTTAAGTGTTAACACCATATTAGGTACTCTAGATTTACAAAAAAGGGTTGTGGCTCTTCTGAGTTTTTAATGGGGTTACATTATGGGGCTATTTTAGATAAAGACAGTTGGGTTGATTTACTAGAACTAGAGAGTGCAAAATCTGGTGCAGCTCTTCATAGAAACTAATCAGCTTCCAGGGTTTTATTTTGTCAAAACTTAATTGAACAAGATGAAGTTAGAAGCTGATTGGCTACCGTGCACAGCTGCACCAGATTTTGTTCTCTCCAGTTTTAATAAATCAACCCCGGTGTTTAGATAAGTTATTTTTAAAGCTGAGCTCTAAGCATATAATAAAGACACAAATACTTGAAATTTTGCATTTTTGAAAGCAAGCAGTGTAAGTACTGGAGTGTGAACTGGTATCAGCCACTTGCAGTCCTTGTACAGCAGGACTGGAGTGTGAGAGGAAGAAGTAGCACAAACAACCAGTCAGTTCATGTGCTGACAAGAAACATGCTGAAGTGACAAAGAGATAAGCTCATCATGGTGCTGCATTTCCTATTACTGTTAAGTCACAGGCTTGGGTGGGTCAAGGACAACCTGGTCTCCAAAGAAGTGAGTGGAATGATGCTGGCCATCAGACTGAGGCCATCTATCAGCAGAAAAAAAGCACTACAGGCAAATCTCTGTATGGAAGCTAAGTGTATTGTGGCAAAAGCTGGTTTAGTTATTAAATCTTTTATTGGACTGCTAGTTTTTATCTCATTTTTGGCTGGAGTTCTACCTTATAGTGTTTGTAAACACAAAAATGTAATTTATTATATATGGCTCTTTATGTATTTCATCAGTGCTTTTTATTTTAATATATTTTGGTCAAACGTATTCTTCTGGATTATCTGGTTGATCCTGCTAGTTCCAAACTTTCAGTTTGAAAACTGACCACACTAGTCAATCCATGCTAGCGTGGTCAGTTTGCATTCTCTGTCATGCAGTTCTGAGATACAGGCAGGCTGTGCCTGTATCTTACATGGTCAGTGTGACCCCGCCTATTCCTCCGCCGTTGATTGACAGCAGGTTCTAGAGCCAGGCTTGCTGTGAATGGTTAATACAAGTCCACTAGCGGAAGTGACGTTATGCTGCTGTGTATGTTTGCATTTCATCTTCTTGGAAGAGCTGATGCTCAGTGGCATGTGTCAATTCCAGAAATGACACACTGTACATGCCTCCCAATTTGGAAATGTCCACCCTAAGGTCCGTGATCTGCTATGAAAGGAAAAATTGCTCACTTGACCTTCACATTAGAGGTCTGAAAATTGTAGAAAAGCTATTTTTTTCACAATTACAAATATGGATTGTTTATAACTAGATATTTAACTATTTAATTATCAATAGATTATTATTATTATTATTATACAGTATTTATAAAGCGCCAATAGTTCGCTCAGCGCTGTACATTACAAAGGGGGACAGAACATGTGACAGAACAATACCAATACAATGTGATACACGAGGGGTTCGAGGGCCCTGCTCTTTCGAGCTTTCAATCTAGGAGGGAGGGGATGGTGGCACAGGAGGAGATAGCTGTGGGGGATGGAGTGGTAGGAAGAGTGGAGGAGGTCGGCAAGTTAGCAGGGGGTGGGGTAGGCTTCCCTGAAGAGATGGGTTTTCAGGGTGCGCCTAAAGGAGAGGAGAGTAGGTGATAATCTGATGGGTTGGGGCAGGGAGTTCCAGAGGATGGGTGACATCCTGGAGAAGTCCTGGAGGCGGGCATGGGAGGAGGAGACCAGGGAACTAGAGAGAAGGAGGTCTTGTGAGGAGCATAGTGTGCGTGTTGGGCGGTACTTGGATATTAGGTCAGTGATGTAGTTCGGGGCAGTATGGTGGACAGCTTTGTACGTCAGCGTTAGGATTTTGAATTTGATCCGTTGCGCAATCGGAAGCCAGTGGAGGGATTGGCAGAGGGGGGTGGCGGAGACAGAGCGGTTGGAAAGGTGAATGAGTCTGGCAGCCGTATTCAGGATTGACTGAAGCGGGGATAGCCAGCGGCGAGGCAGGCCAGTGAGGAGGGAGTTGCAGTAGTCGAGTCGTGATACGATGAGGGAGTGGATGAGCTGTTTAGTGGTTTCTGGGGTTAGGAACGTGCGGATTTTGGCGATGTAGATGGTAACTTGCATTTACATCTACTTTGTATTGTCACGGGTTAGCTATTGTTTCCGTGTATCCGCTTAGGGCACAAGTGTGTATTTCTCTTGTTCTGATTACAACTGATTTTAGTTCTAAGTAAATGTTCTTTGTGCAGAGTCCTCAAACATTGCCTTATGCTCTAGAATATATATCTACAGAGCTAAATAGGAAAAAGCCAATGTTGATAGCGAAAGGCAGGTCAACTTGCTTTATGTCATAACAGATTTTTTCACAAGCTAAAAGACTAAAGTTATTCTAATGTGGAAAGCTACAAATATATTAATGTCTTTTTATGATTTCATTTGTTAGGGGCAAGTTAGGTTTTTTCTTTGGTTTTGAAAGAAAAAGTGGGAAAAAAGAGCCTTTTAAAGGTACCTTCTACACCAACAAACATTTATCAGGTTAGTAGCTCAAGGGGACATGCTTGGCAAGGTGTTTTAAGCAGGCATTGCTTGAGTACACTAGACCTCGTATTGCATAAAATCTGATTGTCAGTAATCAGAGCCTCTGGAAAGATATAAAAGTGTACAATGGATTCTCATCCCCGGCAAACTGAGGCATGCCCCAGGACTGCTGCATTCTATTAAGAAGGCCGAAAAGGTCGGAGAAAAAAAATTACCTACACCTCTGATTCATCTCTATTCTCTAGTCTCCTTACCTGTTTCCCTCCCTAATTTGTTCTGTGATTAGATTGTCTATTACTCAAGCCAGCCATAGAAGGGGTTTATTTTCTCTCCCGTTGTTGCAGGAAAGAACATAGCTCAATTCCCCCGTTAACACAGTCAGTGTTAATGGGGGAATCCCTTTTGTGGAGCCATTATATTCTCCTGACAGGCAGGCAGGGGGAGCCATCCCCACCAGGAGAACACAGTGATTACTGCTAACTGCTATAATAGCCACTAGCGATGATTGCATGTAAAATCTGACAGCTTGGTTATACCCAAGTTTTTCTATCAACTTTTGTACAATCAGCCTGCCCATACTGTACATGCTTCAAATCTCAGCCAGTCCCTGCTGAACCAACCGAGATGCGAACCGTCTATGGCAAGCTTCAGTTTTGTACTGATTTACATATTTTTAGCACATTGGTACTCAGAATCTCTGATACTTTGGTTGTGCAGCCATTGTTTATTAGCACTTTGCTCAGAGTAAAACTAAAGTAGATCAACATTTTTCTTTTTTTTTTTTCTTTTTCTTAAAGGCGTTCTGGAAGTAATCTCAGCAGTGCAAGTGGAGGCCACCCAGAGGACTGGCACCTAGATGACAATGTAAGTTTATTGTTAAATTCAAAACAAAGGTGGTATAGAAGGTGTAACATCCTATTATTAGGTACAATCATAAAATACTCAAGCACTTAGGCTTTTAAGGCACCAGGTATCAAACAATGACAACCACATATCAACATACATAATTTTATATAATATATAAAGGTTGTACATAAAACATATTTAAAAAGAAGGGGGAAACATTCAGAATCATTGATATAGGTGTACCCAAAACAAACAAATACCCAGCCCTCTATAAGCTTATTACAATTGTAAGTCAAGAAAACCAAGTGCTCTGTCCAAACATTGACCATGTATAGTGCTATAAACAAATGAGTTCTCTACAAAGAGGGAGGAGGAGAGGTCATTGAAGAGCTCTATGAGTTTCGTGGTCCAAGTTGCTTTATCAAGAGAAATATATATCAGAAACTTTATTTCATTGTATACAACAAAAAACAGTAAATGTATACAATAACATAGTATAACAATGTAGATACAAATACACACATCACATTTTTTCTTTACCACTTCATATTTTCTTACTCAAGAGGCATATAGTTATCCAGGTATAACCATCAACCCAAGACACCTCAGAGGGGAACCGACACCCAGGGAATCATGCGCCATCCCCAAAGCGAGACCACTGGAGCATACTAGTATAGACTGTGCCATCACCTCACCAACCTCCAACATTCGCAGCGTCCCTTACATGGTGGTATAAATATATAGTATCCAGCAAAATACTGTGATTTGTACATCCATAAATATAATATCCCTGCAATACTATGTAATACCACATAAACCCAGTCTCTGAAGTCAATAAATACTACCAGTATATAAATCAAATACACTAGTAATGTCCCCTTAAAACTATCCTAATCCCACTGCTGGCTGTTGGCAACCAACCATATATAATGTCTTTAATAAAATACAAGCAATATAATATCTACAAATCACAATAGGAATATCTATGGTTGTAAACTTAATAATACCAAGAGTCCAGCAGTTCATTAATAACTTAACCCTTATGCAGGCCATAGACGAGTCGTTTATCGGCCGAATTTTTGTCCGCACGAAAAATTGGCCGATAATCACACCGTTAGTGGGACCAGCCTGTTGGCCGTTTTTCACAGATCTCCTCATTTATTTTTATCGGTCATGCTGGAAAATCTGCAAAAAACATCTGTTTTTCATGGACATGGGTGGCAACATTGGCAACAGGGCCAACCAATTTTTCGTTTATTGGCCGAAAATTCGGACGATAAACGGCCCGTCTATGGCCTGCCTTAATCTAATATATAAAATGTATGAAAACTGTCAAAGTATACATACCAGATAAAACAGACTTAAACCCTTAGCATATCAGGAAGACATTCAAACACCACCACCATCAGGGACATGCAACATGGCCGGAGGAAAAGGAAAGAAAGCCCAAGATTGGCTCATATATAGTCCCACAAGAATCCACCCACCAGTACTTTGTGAATGAATGATACAGCCGTGTGGGTGGAGCCCGCATGGCCACTCTGGTTTTAAATATTGACAGCGGGTGCAAGGAGAGGATCTCCAACCCGCAGGTGCAGGGAAGGGGGATTGGGAGGAGAGGAGGCAGGAGCTGAAACATGTTAAATGTTCCACCCTAAATACCAGTGGAAAATGTAACATGTTCCCAAGGTGAACGTAACATTTAACATACAAAAAAAAATTTAACTTCTTATTTTTTTTACATTAATTATATAATTCCGGTACAAGCTTTGCAGTTACGTAAATGAAAGTCTACTTTTATTTAGAATTTTTTAAAATGTGGCACTAAAAAAATGAAAAAGTTTATATATTAATGGTTAGAAAAATAGAAATTAACAAAAATCAGCACAAATATAATATTTAAAGGGGGAAGGAGAACAAGGAGTTAATTAGAAATAGTGTAGCAAAGACTGCTCACTGCTGCTCTTTTTTCTTGTACAGGGTAAAAGGATTTGTATCTGCCCCCTGTAGTTTTTTTTGGCAGCCTGTAGAGGGTGGACTTGCTGGGTTCCACCAACAGCTCTGCGTTCTATGCACAATCTATATGCAGCTCGGTGATAATGTTACTGTTACTTTTTAAGGTATTATCTGTGTTTGGAAAGCATTTGGCGCATACAAAGTGGATTTCTGGTTTTGTGGCTATTGAGGAATATTTTTGAATGACATTTTTTTTGCAGAGTTCAGCTTTAACAGGTTTACTAAATTAATAAATTGGTACATTATGTGTGTGTGGTTTGTGGATTATAATTTAGAGTACTAATTATTTATGGCACAGCACTATGATCAATTCTAATCTATTTTAGGATTGTATTTTAGTGCTTTAGGGCCGGTTCACACCATAGAAACGCAGTCCGGATGTGTTTCTATATGTGCATTTTTGATGCGTACTAGTGCATTTATGACACATTTTTGATGCGTTCTGATTAATTTTTTCCCCTCTTTTTCTTCAACTTAAACGACATGTGCATTCCAGTGGTGCGTTTAGGTGCGCTCCAGTGCATTTTTGGTGTGTTTAGGTGCAAAACCAAATTTCTTGTCTTCCCCCCAGCCCGGACCCCACCCCCCATTGACTTCTCCATCACATCCAACAATGCCAATATCAAACCCGCCCTGCAGGCCAGAGTACTTGGTGTCATTCTGGACTCCAACCTATCCTTCCAGCCCCAAGTCCAATCTTTAACAAACTCGTGCAGACTCCACCTCCGCAACATCACCAAAATACGTGCGTTCCTAACCCCAGAAACCACTAAACAGCTCATCCACTCCCTCATCGTATCACGACTCGACTACTGCAACTCCCTCCTCACTGGCCTGCCTCGCCGCTGGCTATCCCCGCTTCAGTCGATCCTGAATACGGCTGCCAGACTCAGTCACCTTTCCAACCGCTCCATCTCCGCCACCCCCCTCTGCCAATCCCTCCACTGGCTTCCAATTGCGCAACGGATCAAATTCAAAATCCTAACATTGACGTACAAAGCTGTCCACCATACTGCCCCGTACTACATCACTGACCTAATATCTAAGTACCACCCAGCACGCACACTACGCTCCTCACAAGACCTCCTTCTCTTTAGTTCCCTGGTCTCCTCCTCCCATGCCCGCCTCCAGGACTTCTCCAGGGTGTCACCCATCCTCTCCCTGCCCCAACCCATCAGATTATCACCTACTCTCCTCTCCTTTAGGCGCACCCTGAAAACCCATCTCTTCAGGGAAGCCTACCCTACCCCCTGCTAACTTGACCGACCTCCTCCACTCTTCCTACCACTCCATCCCCCACAGCTATCTCCTCCTGTACCACCATCCCTCCCTCCCTCCTAGATTGTAAGCTCCAAAGAGCAGGGCCCTCAATCCCCTCATGTTTTGCATTGTATTGGTATTGTTCTGTCACATGTTCTGTCCCCCTTTATAATGTACAGCGCTGAGCGAACTATTGGCACTTTATAAATACTGTATATAAAAAAAATAATAATAATAATTCCAGTGCATTTTTGTTGCGTTGTACTGCATTCCAGTGCAGTTCAGTGCAGAAAAAATCCAGCATGTTCTACTTTTTTTTCTGGAACTGGAACACACTGGAACAGACTGCACTGGTGTGAACTATGCCATTGGAAACCATGTAACCTACTATCAATGTGTTTTTTGGAAAAAAAATGCTTTGGATTGTAAGTGATGTGAACTGGCCCTTAGGGTTTTTTATTTGCAGCAGTAGAATTGGGTTTTTTATTTTGTGGTTGCACATTATACTTTGTGAATCGTGCTGTCACTTTCTCCTGAGTGCAGAGTAGGCAGGATCCAATAATAAAGCACCAAACAGGGCCTAAGCTACTCTGCTTGGAAAATGAAAGAATCCAACATAACGTGAGGTCATGCTCTGGAAACGAAATCAGGGTGCCCTAGTCTTTATAAAGCAGTTTTTTTTGTTTCATGACTACTAATATAGATTTTGTAATCACAATTAGTGTTACAACCCCCCTGAGTCTGTGCAAATTGGAAACTAGATTGCTGTACAGAATTTTGGTTTTGTTTTGAGCCTAAGACTGTTTGATCATATCTTGCAATGCTTGGTATTGTTTCACCTCCAGGTTTTTCACAGCTCACATGAAGGAAGTTATTATGACTCTAAACGCAAAGATGTCTTACCTAAGAAAAGGAGAAGGACCCGAATTCCCGACAAACCAAACTACAGCCTTAATCTTTGGAGTATAATGAAGAACTGCATTGGCAAAGAATTGTCCAAGATCCCCATGCCTGTACGTGAGTTCACTTTGGCTTGTGCCTTTAAAATTGTCTGAACTTCTAAGTAGCAGTGAGCTGATAGTTTGATCCCCTCCACAAAATAATCCAATTTGTTTTCCGTTCTATTATTCGTAACATGGACTGGCTTTAATGATTATCCGCTTAGGAATTGCTGTGGTGGATATGGTAGGGTGCTGATTTATTTCACAGCACTTTTAAGCCCTCTGGTGCTAGCTTCATTCCTCTCCTTCACCTTACATTTCGGGCTCATTATAGTCCTGTTGAGGGGACAGAGGCATTTGTTGAAATCAATAACAAAACAGCATTTGTGATCATAAGTTCAAGACATGCTGAGCTCTTGCTAGGGTGTAAATTGCAGTCTGTAGCAGTGACTTGTGTCATGGATCTGCCTGCATGGTATTTTTATATTTTTAGTCTTTTGGTGTATATTTGCACTGTTTGTGCCTTTATGTATCATTTTGAAAGCATATTTTCCCTTGTAGCTATCATTGTTGTATCCTAAAAAGGTGTATTTATTCGTATTCTTAATTCAAGTGAAGTGACTTTACATAGGCTGAGCTAATGTTCTCATTCTGCTGCAGGCAGGAGGAAACATTTCATCAGTCCCCAAGTGAGCAGACTGTAACACTGTACTTAGCAAACTATTGGGTAGCAATTGACAAAGTGAAAAGCTGCAGCAGGGGGCTGATCTGTGGGAGACATTTGTGAACTGCTTAGGTACCAGGATTTACATTATTATGTATGTCAGACAGCATCTTTGTCCAAGAAGTAGATGCTGACCCTGGATGATGCCTGAGCAAGGATTGCTCTAACTTTCTAAAGAGAAGGAAAGACCATGGCTTTTCCAGGGAAAGTATAGTAGCTCTGTGAGAGGTAACTATAACCTGTAAGTGTTACACGTTCTCATTACTTCAAAACCAGGCCAATTTTGACATTTCTCACATATATGATAACATTTGCATTTTTTTCCTAGACAATTACTGAGAACATTAAATATCTTTACAAGCAGAGACTCTGGAGAATATAATGGTGGTTGATGCACTTTCGTTATGTCAAACAATATTTGCGCAGCCATTTTTTCAGGAAAAATATGCATGCGAAACTCTATTAAAATGATGTACTGTTTGAACAAATGTACCAGGCAGAAGAAAGAGACATCAAAATGTTGGTCAGATAATCTACTTTTATTTGTCATATATTGTTCCTTTATTGTCACCCAAATGTCATACTGCCAAGGTAACTCTCCTTGTGATCTAGACAAACTCTCTGATTGCTTATATTTTTATATTGCTTATTTATTTTTAAGTGTCTTAAAGTGGTTTTAAAGGCTCAAGGCTTTTTTACATGTATGCATTCTATACATGAAGGTAAACACCTTCTGTGTGCAGCTCCTCCCCCAGCCCCTCCTAATACTTACCTGAGCCTCCTCCGATCCAGCGATGTTCACAATAGCCTTGGCTGTATAGGGACTCTCCTCACCCTCAGAGGAAGTCGGATATGACAAAAACTCGTCAGGGCGTGACCTTCCATGATGTCAGCACGCACGCCAGGACCAGGTGGTGAGAGCATGTGATCATTGTTTTAAGATCTTAGTTACCAGTGTGCAGTGAAACTGTCACTAGCTGCTGTGGTTGGCGGCCATTTTATTGGAAGTATATGTACAATGTGCATTACCATGTTACCCAATGTGAGTGCTTTTCTTAAGGGAAGTTTTCTATGGCAATAAATGATTGTTTTTACGGTATCACACTATGTGGCTGTTTTATTTTGCCCGCATATGGAATTGATATTTCTCAATCTGAATGAGGAGGAAATCGGAGTATGAGATACTAATAATCAATTGATTGGCGGTCCTTTTGGGCTCATGGCTGATTATCAAGTTCGAGATTTCACAACCATTTATTATTAAGGAGATTTGATTGAATTCCTACTAATTTTCCACTGCTGGTTACTCACCAGCTTCTGGTGAGTGTTGAATCCAATGGGGTGTTAATCACTGCAGGATCACATGGATGGTGGATCACTTTATCTTAAAGAGACACTTACCACTGGAATGAATTGGACTTTTCACATTATAATTTTATTTTATATTTTTTTGGTGGAAGTTTTTTTCTTTCCTTTATCCTTTTATATCAATTGGACATTGTGTTTTGACATAGCGCTGTTTGTGTACTTTTTTTTAGTTACTGTTTATATATGTTCACAATAGCCTCAGCTGTATAGGGACTCTCCCTCCTCATTGGCTGGGCCAAGACAGCAGCTAGAGCCCATTGCTTCTCCCAGCTGCTGTAAATCACAGCCAGTGAGCCAATGAGGAGGGAGCAAGGGATGGGGCCGAGCCACGGCTCTATATGTCTTATGGATGCATAGAGCAGCAGCTTGGGAGCAAGCATGTAGCAGTGCCCCCAGGGCAAGCAGCTTTCTCTGGGGACACTGCTCCAAGGGGAGGAGCCAGAATGCCGGCAGGGGACCTGAGAAGAAGAGGATCGGGACACCTGTGTGCAAAACTACTGCACAGAGCAGGTAAGTATGACATGTTTGTTATTTTATATAAAAAAAAACAAAAACAAAGCTTTGGTATCTCTTTAAGTGTAACAAAATGTACCTTGGTGCTTATTTTGTTGTTTCCATTTTTGGGGGTTTACTGGGTTGTAAAAAAGGATTGAAATATAAAATTATCCACAGCCAACACTTTAAAAGCCATTACAGGTTATCAGTTTGGTGTTAAACATGAGCTTTGGTGGTATAATTATTGCTCTCGCTCCAATGGTTACAGTGATACCTCACATGTGTGGTGCAGTCACCATTTACATATGCGTGCCGCATCTATGTGTGCGTTTGCATGCGAGCATGGGGTCAGGGGTGCTTTTTAATTTTGTTAACTTATTTTTTACACTTTTTCACCATTTTACTTTATTGTTCTCACAGTGGGGTGAACAAGCTTTTTGTGATAGCTTTGGGCAGTGACAGGTTCTCTTTATGGAGATATTGGGGGTCTTTTAGACCCCCGATGATGGATGTTCATCCATCTCTTCTGTGTGAAGCTGACCTGAACACTTACAGTGGCCCTGGGCTTCCTGGTGGAATGGGATAGTCCAGAAATGGTAGGGAGGGGGATTGCCCTGGCCCTTGCCGTTGTAAAAGTGATCAGGCAACTGTACAGCTGCTCTAATCCCTTTTACTGGAAAGCAGATTGCCAGCTTTAAAAAAACAGTACCAGATACAGCTATTGTCCTGTCATAGCCACTTGCTGCCGAAGACGTATATATACTGCCTCTAGGGAGCAAGCGTTTAACCTCCTTAGCGGTATTCCTGAGTGTAGCTCGGGGTAAAATTTGAGTACCAAGAGCGGTAACCCCGAGTTACACTCAGGCTTACCATGTGGCATTGCTCAGGGAGTCCCTGCAGAGCTTACCTTGTCCTTCGCTCCCACAATGTGTCCCCTGCAGCGTCCCCGGCCATCTCCTCCGGCCGATGCCGGCATCCGGCTTCCGTGTTCCGGTCCCTGTGACGTCGGGACGTATGGGCACTGGAACCGGCGGCAAATTTGAAATTTTTTAAAAATGTCATTTTTTAAAAAATGATTAGTACATAGTAAAACATTGCTGTTTCAATGCATTTCACATACATTTTGTCCCTACTGCTTTGTCCTGTGCCCTGCCTGCATTTTGACTGTTCTTTCTGCCTGGAAACTTAGAAACGTCCATGGCGTCCAAAAAGCGTCCCTTTATGTCAAAAGCGGTTTTAGACCGGCTAGAGAACAGCGATAGTAAATCAGAACCACTTGCAGAATTGAGTGATAATGATTCGTGGGGAAATTCGTCGTCAGACACTGAAAACGATTTTGCGACTTTGCTCAGCGATGTGCGAATTTGCCTCTGTATTTCAAATTTCAGTGTTTTTGGTTTGATTATATTATTGAATTAAATGTATTATTATATTATTTTTTTTTTATGATTATTTATTAAATTATAATTTATGATTTCGTGTTTTGAAATTTTATCATACCCGGGATGTTTAATAGACTCTTGTTCGGACAGATTTCAGTGAGTTATTCCTAAAAATTACAGCCTACAATAAACAAAATGCATATTTCCATGCAAAAAAATGGTACCGCTTTCAGCACAAAAAATCAGAAATAATCATACTGCCGAGGAGGTTAAAGAGAAACTTCACTCCCCCAATTAGCTTTGCAGCCCAAGTTAAAAAAGTTGCGACATGTGTACAGTCTTGGACAGGTGGTGAGGTGACATTGAATCGCCTCCTCGCCGCCTGTGTTAACTCCCTAAATACTAGACAATCAGGCCTCAACTGCATGTGTTGTGCTCTGTTGCGGGGCAGTTGCAGCATGGCCCCATTCACTTGGGGGTATAATTTCTGCCGCAGCTGCTAAGGAAAGCATTGTGCCCGTAGCTCATGTACACTCATGGCCGCTTCCTCAGCAGCAAGAGGGGGAGTGTTTGAGGGGCGATAAAAGTGCAGCTGTGCCTCAGGGTTTTACCGCCCCAAATGACAAGTGTAAACAAGCCCTTACTGTATTGTAGTGCATTTTTTACTCCTATATTTGAATACAGCATCTTCTGGATGTTTTCAGATGTTTGTATTTCAGCCATCACCATTATTACAACCAGATATCTTCTGCATGAAACATGAGATACAACCTTACTGTATAAAGTAAAGCCGCCTTTCCTTAGACGTGCTAAATTTAATACAAAACTTTAGAAATCACTGTGAGACAAGTTCTGTTGAGGAAGACAAGGTCAGTGTCAGGGCATTTTATTCAGGTGGCTATGACAAGTAAACAGCATGGATCCTTTTTAATTTAGAGGATTTATTGCACAGGGAGCAGGGCAGAGTCTGCGGACGACTTCAGCAACAGATGAAATATTTCAGATAAAAATAAAAGTGAGATTTCAGCTGTGGAGGTGGGAAATGTGATGAGCTCAGTGTATTATTTTATATGTTCTATTTTAAGCCGGATGTCTTGCCGAGA